CCGAAAATGAAGCCAGCGTTTGGGCGAGAGCAGCATTTCAAACTAACAAAAAAAACACGCGCGGAAGCGCGGACATGAGGACGCGTAGCCTGATATAGCATGGCGTGGCAACGCCCCAAAGTGGTGGGGAACTTCTGCGGCGCAAAGAATCCATGAATCGGCACCGAATGTGGAATCACTTCCGATGTTTTGTCGGGGGGGCAGTATCTAGATGTTGAGGCCTATTTGGAAGGATCGAAAACCATGCCGTGGCATGGCGCTGGAAATAATGACGCCAGCGCTGCAGCGGGAACACCATTCGGAATGAAGCGCGGAAACGAGGCCAGCGCTGCAGCGGGAGCACGATTCGGAACGAGCGGTAGCCCGAAAATGAAGCCAGCGCTTCGGCGAAAACAGCATGTCGAAAAAGCAACCCAAGCGAAAACCCGTTTCCGGGCAATCCTGTGTAAAAAAACGTGCGTGGAGGGGGGTCGCTTATTTCCCAGACGCCACCAGGGGAGAGAGGAGAGTAGTATTCATATGGCTAAACTGTGGAGGAGAAGGAAGAGGAGGAGGAGGAGGAAAAGGAGGAGGAGGAAGAGGAGGAGGAGGCAAAGGAGGAGGAGGAGGAGGAGGAGGAGGAGGGGAGGAGAGGGAGGAGGGAAGAAGGGAGGGAGGGAGAAGAACGGAGGGAGGAGGGGGGAGGAAGGAGGGAGGACAAGGGAGGATGGAGGAGGAGGAGGAACAGCAGGAGGAGGAGGAGGAGGACGATTGGATTGAATTTGATTGGATTGGATCGGATTGGACACTTCAAGTGGAGGAGGAGGAGGAAGAGGAGGAGGAGGAGGAGGAGGAGGAGGAAGAGGAAGAGGACGAGGAGGGAGGAGGGAGGAGGGAGGAGGGAAGAGGGAGGAGGGAAGAGGGAGGGAGGAGGGAGGAGGGAGGGGTGAGGGGTGAGGAGAGAGGAGGGAAGAGGGAACAGGAGGAGGAGGAGGAGGACCAGCGCAAACCCAATAATCACCAACGATGGTGATGGAATAAACCCTCCCTCCAAGCTCCATTTTCATAGGCTCCTATAAGGGATCATTTCTACTGAGGGAAACTGCCTCGGTGGAGAACAACCGCTTGAAGACCCTGACGCAGGTCAAGACATCATTCACGGGATTCCAACGCCACGGATCAATCTGACTGTTGCGTTTTTACGATTGTGAACCGTGCAAAAACGCCATGTCTGGGACTTCAACACCGCATATCAACGTAACTGTTGCGCCCTCACAATCCAGAATCCTTCCCAAACGCCATGTTTGGCACGCTGATCCTGGGAATCCGCGAGGGTGTTGCAATGTTGTACTACATGTGCGCGGCGCTTACGCGAAAACCACATTGTGTAAAGGAGCCGCATTGAACCAGTGAAACTCTTCAAAGTTCTGAAATGAATGCGCGCGGCGGCGCCTAGGCGAAAACCACAGTTTGAAAACGTTTGCCCTCAATCCTTGAAGCTCCTGCAAATTCTTGAAATGAGCGCGCACGGCGCTGAGGCGAGAGTCACATATCGAAATGGAGCCGCCTTCAATCCGTGAAACGCTTGCAAATGTTTGAAGTGAATGCGCGCGACGCTAAGGCGAGCACCACATATTGAAAAGAAACGGCCCTCAATCCGTGAGGTTTTTTGCAACCCTTTGGAATTAATGTGCGCGGCGCTAAGGCGGGAACCACATTTTGAAAACGACCCGCTCTCAATCTTTGAAGCTCTTACCACCAATTTCTTGACATGAATGTGCGCGGCGCTGAGGCAAGAGCCACAGTTTGAGAACCACCCGCCGTCAATGTGCGAAGTTCTTGCCAATTTCTAAGTTTCAAGGTTTTAGATGTTAAAGAAGTCCCAAGCGAAATTCCCGGACCGCCCTTAAAACTGGCCTCGGGGTGCGATAGGGAAACGTTATTTATGAGGAAAAGGAATGGAGGAGGAGGTGAAGGAGGAGGAGGAGGAGGAGGAGGAGGAGGAGGAGGAGGAGGAGGAGAAAGAAGAGGAGGAGAAGGAGAAGGAGGAGGAGGAGGAGGAGGAGGAGGGGCGGGACATGGGGGGGACTATACCACGTCTGGGTGGATAGGGCAACGGTAACCGTCATCGCGTCGCCGCCAACGGAAGGCATAAATCTCCCACGCGGGGTGAAAATCCCCCAAGCGGCCCCCACCTCCGCGATCTGGGTACGCCACTCCTGCGCGTTGCGCGGCAGAGGAGGGCACCAGTCGCGGGGAAGGAGGCGGCTTCGGGGGGGGTCCTATGTCCATGGGGGCGGAGGCCTTTATGCCTCCATTTTGGGCGGGTGTGGCCAGCCGCCGCCAGGAAGGCGATGACGATGATGATGATGATGATGATGATGATGATGATGATGATGACATGATGATGATGATAATGATGATGATGATGATGATGATGATGATGATGATGATGATGATGATGATGGTCCCGCAGCGGCAGGCTCACTCACTCACCCACTCACTCACTCACGCACTCACTCACTCACGGGGTACTTGGGACACATCCCCAGGGTTTCCGCGCAGACGCACCCCGAACTGCACCTGTCTCAGTCCGTCGCCGAAAGCCCTTGGTACTCGTCCGTGTCCACGTCGCGCCCTGCGGCGTGGTCGCCCCTTGCCCGGTCAATCGCGCGCAACCTGAACTCGTCCGCGGCGTCGTACTGCACCGAGGACGTGGCCGCAGGCTGGCGCGGCCGAGGAAATGTGCCCTCTCAGTCGGTCCCCCTGGGCCGAAGAGCCCCGAGTCGTCGATCCAATCGAAGAAGTGCTCGCCGAGGGGCTCCGCGAGGTCGGGCGGCACCGCCGCCGCCTGCTCGCCGAGGGGCCCCGCGAGGTAGGGCGTCGCCGCCGCCGCCGCCTGCTCGCCGAGGGGCTCCGCAAGGTAGGGCGCCGCCGCCGCCGCCTGCTCGCCGAGGGGCTTCGCGAGGTCGGGCGCCGCTGCCGCCGCCGCCGCCTTCTCGACTAAAGGCTCCTCCGCGAGGTAGGGCGCCGCCGCCGCCGCCGCCTGCTCGCCAGGGGGTGCCGCGAGGCCAGCCGCCACCGCCGCCGCCGCCGCCTGCTCGCCGAAGGTCTCCTCCGCGAAGTAGGGCGCCGCCGCCGCCGCCTGCTCGCCGAAGGGCTCCGCGCCGGGCAGCAGGTAGTGCCGCAGCGGGGCGAAGGGCCGCGCCCCTCCTCACAGCGCCGTCCGCGCTGGCCAGGGTTGGCCCGCCGCCTCCGCCAGCAGCGAAGCCTCCAGCTCGTCCGCCCGCGCTGCTGGCAGGCGCGCGCGGCCTGGGGGGGGCGCGTGCCTTGCCCAGTTCCCCTGGGCCATGTGCTCCTGCGCCTCCGCGAGCACCTCCGCTGGGCAGCCCAGCGGCCGCCCCGTGGCCACCACCTCCCAGAAACAGGGGGCATGGCCGCCCAGGCGGTCGCCCAACGCCCAGAGCGGGGCCAGGGCCTCGCGCAGGCCCCTCGTCCTGCAGGTCAGCGCCGCCGCCCGCGTTTACCTCCGCTCCTGCCAGTGCTGGCGCCGCAGCCGCCGCGCCAGCGTGCGAGCGCTAGCCGCAGCCCGCGCCCGTCCATCCATGGCCACCGGAACGCCTGCTCGCGTGCACCGCGCGCGCGCCGCTCGGGCCTCCCGCACCCGAGCTCGCTTGAGCCAAAATAGCGACTGATGATGATGATGATGATGATGATGATGATGATGATGATGATGATGATGATGATGATGATGATGATGATGATGATGATGATGATGATGATGATGATGATGATGATGATGATGATGATGATGATGATGATGATGATGATGATGATGATGATGATGATGCTGATGATGATGATGACGATGCTGAGGATGATGATGATGCTGATGATGACGATGATGGTGATGATGATGATGGTGATGATGATGATCATGATGATGACGATGATGATGATGATGATGATGATGATGCTGATGATGATGATTATGATGATGCTGATGATGATGCTGATGATGATGGTGATAATGACGACGATGATGACGATTATGATGATGATGCTGCTGATGCTGATGCTGATGATGATGCTGCTGATGATGCTGATGATGATGATGATGATGATGACGATGATGATCGTGATGATGCTGATGATGATGGTGGTGAGGATGATGATGGCGACGTTTTCCTCCTCATGCTAAAATGCGAACACTTTGTGACCAGTGCCAATACATCGTCATCGTCATCGTCATCCCCTTCACGTTCAGTGGAAATCCCCCAGGCGGCCCCGAGATCAACGCGCTGGGAGCCCTGCGCCTGCTTGCAGGTGAGGGATCCCGCCGTTGGCCTCGGGGACGCCTGTGGGGGATTCCCATGAGCAGAGGGAGAGGCCCTTGGGCCTTTCCACTCTGGCGTGGGTGGCCGCGGGGCCGCCACCGCCAACACTGTCGCCAGCCTAGCCTCACGTGCAGCGCCGTCAGCAACACTCACACATCACTGCTCTTGTAGGCAGGCCCCTGCAGCTCCGCGACTCTGCTTTTGTCCCTCAGGCCGTTACACCAGCTCTGACCCAAGCAACTGCCTGACCCCCCCGTTTCAATGCGCCCATCTGCGCCTCTAACATGGGGTGGGTACAGCAGGGTGGGTGCGTATCAACGTATCTCTGCCGCAGCCAACTGTCCGCAATGCCGCACTATCCCCCACTCCGTCTTGCCTCTTCTTTTTGTCATGTCTCCTCCTTCCCTCTCCTCGTCTGTCTTTCTTTCCTATTTACTCTTCTTACAAATAACGCCGGTGACCCTTTGGAGCGGTGCTCCGGTGGTCACCCGGCATTCGCTTGATCACCTCCCCAGGGCCGACCGGCCCTGGAGGGGGGAGGCAGCACCCACAAGGACCTCATGCCACCAGGAACCAGGAACCAGGAGGAGTAGGAGAAGGAGTAGGAGGAGGAGGAGGAGGAGGAGGAGGAGGAGGAGGAGGAGGAGGAGGAGGAGGAGGAGCAGCAGTAGCTCGCGGTTACACAAGGAGGGAGGAGGGAGGGGGAGGACCTCCAGGACGACGGGGAGGAGGGAGGAGGGCGGAACACGCGCGCTTCTGCTGCATGCAAGCGCTGGGGGCCACGCGCGCCCTGGCGGTGCCGGAACTGAGCCCACGCGCGACACCCGGATGCACAAAAGCGAGCTTGTCGCTTCAACAAGACAGCGGCGCCCATGCCAGGGAGGTGCCTAACAGCACCCCCCCGTCGCGGCCGCGAGGCACGGCGGCTCCCTCGCGAGGAGCGCCGCGGCCCTCAAAGCGCGAGTCGGTGCACCCGGAACTCTGCGCTATGTACAGGTGGGTCCGCATAGAGCGTCTGCCGAATTCGCTCGTGATCAGCGCCTCGCCCCGGCCAGGCACGGCTGGGGGAGCTGTGCCCCTCCCCCCCCCGGGGGTGAGCTCAGCATGGGGGGAGCGGGTCCTGCGGCCAACGGGTCCTGGACTCTGAGGCCTTCCCCCAGGACGAGTTTTTCATCCGGAGTCGTTTTCTGGCAGTCCAGGGCCCGTGGAGGGCCCCGAGAGCCCGAAAACGGCGGAAAACCTCAGGACCCGTTTCCCTCAGGACCTCTTTCCCCCAGGGCGATGATCGGGGAGACGTAAGACTCGGATACGGGGGACTTGGGTTGGCCTGACGGGGCCATCACAAAGATGACGAGACCCAGTCTGAAATTTGACGCGAGCTTCCGCTGCAAACATCCCGCGAAAACTGGACCGTCAAAATCCAGGGCGCGCTCGTCAAAAAACGTCAGCAAACCCGAGTTCCGGCTTACTCGGGTCTTACGTTTGCCCGAGATGAGCCCATCGTGTCGACGATCTGATCTGCCGGGAGGGGTGTCGAAGCCGATGGGTTCCCAGAGGGGGGGGGGGGGGGAAGGCCACAGCTCCCCCCGAGTCTCCCCGCCGCCCTTCCCCTTCCACTCCTCCTCCCCCTCCCCCTCCCCCTCCCCGCCGTCCGTTCCCCTCCCCCTCCCCCTCCTCCTGCCCCTCCACGCCGCCCGTCCCCCTCCTTCCTCCCCGCCGCCCGTGCCCGTCACCCCCCCTCTCCCCCCTTCCCCGCCTCCCGTCCCCTCCCCTTCCCTTCCCCCTCCCCCCCGCTGCACTTCGGACGCCGCGCTGGTGCAATATAAAAAATGTTGACGATGCGACGGCCGTGGTCACCTCGCGATGGCTACGCAGTCGCCCTGGTCACACGCATGCAGCCCCTCTACCGTTGCGGAGACGATGCCTCAGACTCGGCGTGCCATAACGCCAGCGCAAGCAGCAGAAGGACTGGAAGCGGAGCCCGCATCGGGGTCTGGCGAGGGGATGGGCACCCCGCGCCGGAACGCACACTGCGTGTATCATACCGTGTGATTCTGGCGCGTGGCCAGCAACCACTAGGAAAAAGTTACGGGGTCGACCGTTGAGGAGGAAGCGGCTCGGCCCGCGGCGGCCGCCTCAGCTGGGACACAATACGGTGCGAGAAACGGGAACGCCGGCAGCGAGAGCGCGACGCCGCCCTCAGCTGCCCGCCAGGGCCGCCTCGAAGGCCCGCTGCGCCTCCCCCCACCCCACGGCCCCGACCGCGTGGCGGCGGCAGCTGGCCGGGACGAGCGCCCAGGACGCGGGCGAGGAGACCCATGGCTCGGGGATCCCGCGGCCAGCGGCGGCGCCCGCTGGCCGCGCACCTCGCAGCAGCGCGACGACGGCCTGGTGGGAGCGATGCTGGGCCAGCGACAGCGCCGTCTCCCCGAGCACGGTGCCCCTGGCCGCGTCCGCGCCCGCGAGCAGCAGCCGCTCCACCACGGCGGCGTGGCCGAAGCGGGCCGCGGCCATCAGCGGGGTGTACTCCGCCGGGGCGGTCCACCGTGGCACCCTGGCGCTCTGGCAGTTCACGTCCGCCCCGGCGCGGATCAGCACCGAGATGGCTGCCCGCCGCCCGTGCCAGGCGGCGCGGAACAGCGCGGTCCAGCCCCCGGAGTCGATGGCCTCGGTGAGGGCGCCCTCCGCCAGCAGCAGCGAGCAAAGGGGTGCGCAGCCGCGCCCAGCCGCCCACATCAGCGCCGTCTGCCCATGCACGTTGGCCTCGTCAAGGCCCGACCTGGCAGACGCCGACAGCACCGCAAGGGCGAGGTCATCGTCGCACGCCGCCGCTGCGCGCACGCGCTCGCACAGAGGCGCCGCCGCGCCGTCACTCAGCCTGGATTCAGCCGCGCGCCGGAGCAGGCGGTGGCTCATCAGCCCTCGGAGCTTCTGCGACACGCAGCGAAGCTCCATCGACGCCAGGGGGCCCAGGGAGCTCACCACCTCGCAGCTGAGCTCCGGGGGGCACGGCGCGTCCCACAAGTGGAGCATGCCGCGCGCGAGCCCGATCTTCCCCACCGCCGCCCGCTGGCTCGATGGCCCCGCGCGCCTCTGCACGACGCCGAAAAAACGGCTTGAGCACAAAGTGTTACACTGGGCGAGGGTGAGGAGGCAGCCGAGTGTCCCCGAGGAGGATCCGCGCACGGCTATCGAAGAGCTCCCGCGCTGGTGCCGACAGAATGCACCAGCGAAGGCTCGCGACGAGCTCCCGCGCTGTGAGAGCGGTCAGCTGCGATGCCAGCAGCACTGGCGAAATCTACCGCCTCGGAATCCGAGTGCACCCGTTCACCTGACCCTCTCCATACATTGTTGAGGAAGCGATGGAGGTGACGAGGAATTCTGACAAACCGCAACTTAGGGAGGAAGCAGTGGCAGAAGCCCAACAGTCGGAGCATCGACGACGACAGCGAAGCGCCATCGACCTGAGCCACGCGGGACAGAAATTCAGGATATGCCCTAGATTGCGGCAAAGCACGTGTGAAGTCCTCCGGGTCCGGAATTGGTGGTCCGTGGTCTCCAGCATATTCTCGCGTGTACTCTCCCGTATGGTCTCGTTTGGGATCTTATGTCGCCTGTAGCGCATGGGTGGGCTGGGGCAGGGGCTGGAACGGAAGTGTCCGACTGCACACGCATTTAAGCATACACATACGCAGGCACACGCACGCGCATACCTTTCCTCCGACGCGTCAAAGAATCCTTTCGGCGGGCAGTGCTAATTATGGGGCACGTTCGCAATGATCAAACTCCCTTTGACGTAGAGGTGATCCAGCGATGATCGCAGATGCGCGCAGTGGCAGCCAAGGGTCGAGAAATCATGCGGTGCAGGGCAGAGCGAAATGATGGGAGAAGAACGGAGCGGGCGAAAGGCCGAAAGCGCAGTCAACCCGTATCATCAGGACGCTCGATAAGGACGCAAGGGCCTTGGAGGGCCATGTCGACGCTCTGCGAGCGGGGCGCGGCCCAGCGAAAGCGGCCAAGGATGGGCCGAAGGGGAAGGGTGCAAGGGTAATATTGGAAAATTACTCACCCTTACTATGCGGGAAAAACGACCGCCCCTAGCAGGCCAAACCAGGTCAGCGTGAAGGCGCAGAAGGCGTGCCGAGAGGCAGCCAAGAGCAGAGCGGGCGCGGCAGAGAGGGGGGGGGGCAACAAGGGGTTGGAGCAGGAAGGGGAGGGAGGGGATTGCCATCGCTCGGACGTCCATCCCCCGTGCATATTTCGATTTCGTGCGCGCGTTTTCTCGCAAGATGATCCTGGATGCTCCTCGATGGTCCCCGCCAAGAAAAGAAGCACACGTCCGAGCGATGCCAAGGGGTAGGAGCAGGAAGGGGAGGGAGAGGTGGCTGGGCAGCCCGGCGGCACCAGCCGCACCTGGCAACTACAAAGAGACTGACGCACGTCACCAGCAGACCAAGACAAGCGCGCGCAGAACGAGAAAGCGCAAGAGAGACTGCTGTACAACGGGGCGGGCCGAACGCACACACACAGGCAGACTCACACACGCACAGACATGAAACGCACGGCCTGCGCGTGCACCACAGCCACCCGCACGCGCCAGACGCGCACAACCACGCCCCATCCATGCGCGCTCGATGCCTAAACCCTGTGTACACCACATGCTCCCGTCGGCACCAGAAAACCCTGTGGCCACCGCAGCGTGGATGTGAGCAGTGCAGTGTGCTTGCGACCGCCGCACGACGAGGAAAGCCAGTCCCTGAAAAAAAACCCAGAGCCTGCGACCACAGAATGCACAACAATGCACCAGACCGGCATCACAAAGGCCTGCGAGCACCACGACGTGCCAGCGAGCACCGCAGAACGCTTGCATGACCTCCCTCATCCTTCGTCGTCGTCTTACTCCTCCTCTGTCGTCCTCGTCGTCGTCGTTCCTCGTTTCTCGTCGACGTCGTCGTCGTCCTTGTCGTCGTCGTCGTCGTCGTCGTCCGTCTTCTTCTTCTTCTTCTCCTCCTCCTCCTCCTCCTCCTCCTCCTCCTCCGCCTCCTCCCTAAACCTCCAGCACCACTCCTCCTACGTCCTCTGTCCTTGCCCTCCTCCTCCTCCTCCTCCTCCTCCTCCCTGATCCTCTGATCCTTTATCTCTCATTCTTATAAACTTTTACTCTGCCACCTCGTCGGCCGATGGCCAACCAAAACAGGGGAATAACAGGGGGGCCTATGCCTGTTGAAGACTCATGACATGTCTGCATGGTTGTTGCCGACATGGGCATGCTTGGCGTCCACGTTGCTGAATGCGTAACACGAAATGTCGCTCTCGCTTGGGCGCCGCGCAGACTTCGCCTGAACATGTCGCTCCCGGCTCGGCGCGGCGCAGATCCGTGACTCGCCTATTCTTGGGGCCCCGCGGGCGGGCGACTTGTCTCCTGCCGAAAGACCGTGCGCATTTCGCTCGGAAGTGGCGTTCCCGCGCCGGCGCGGCACATGGCTCGCTCGCCGAATCGCAGGAAGGCGGCAGCGGCAGCGGAGCCGCCCGAGGACAGGCGAAACGGTGACCTCGCCCAAGCGCCGCGCGGCTTGCGAGTGAAAGTGATAAAGACGTGTTTCTGGTTTCAACGCAATGCCTCAGTGCAGAACAATGCACCGTCACGCGAGACGCTGTGACCGTGCCGCCGCATCGAGACGCCCTCTCGCGGCGAAGTGACAGTGATGTGTCGGCGCGGCGCATGCTTCGTCCTTGCCGCGCTTCTCGGAAGTGTTGCCGCTCCCGCCCCTTCGCAGCCCGAGTCGCTTTCCCTTCGCCAAGTCGTCGGAAGCGGGACCGCGCGCGAGCGCCTTCCGTTCGCGAGGTAGAAACGCGACACTCGATTCTTCTATGGGAGGGAAGGCGGGAATGGGCGGGGCCCTTTAACTCGCTCGACCTGACTAACTTGACTCCTCCTCCTGCTCCGCGTCCCTCCTCCTCCCTCCTCCCCGTCCGTCCTCTTCCTCATCTTCCCCCCTCCGCCTCTTGTGCTGCTCCTTACCTCCTTCTTCCTCCCTCGCCGTCGTCGTCGTCCTCCTCCTCCTCCTCTTGACTCTCGTGTCTCCTGCAGAGCACCACGCTCTGGCTCGCCAGCGCCGCGACGTGCGCGTGAACACACCAGGTGCGCTCCTGTGCGTAGTTTGGGCCGTTGCCTTGACGCTTCGTTCTGACGGCGCCTGGCGTCTTCCGGTGCGCTTGCGATCAAAAAGTGAACACACCAGGTGCGCCTGCGACCACCCAGCGCCGACGGGAGGCCCGACCCTGGCCTGGCACCCTGACAGCAGCCTGCGAGCACCGCGTACCTGCACAGCTCGGGCGTCAATGCGGGGGGGGAAGGGCGATAGAAGTGGGAGGGGGGGGAAAGGGGAGAAGCGTGCAGCCTTCGTGCCCCTTTTGTGGTGCCAGGAGGCCCCTCCAGGGCCCACTTCGGGGCACAAAGGGCGCACCTTTCCTCCCCCCCCCTCCTCGATCGCACCCCCATCACTGGACGCCCGAACAACAGCATGCCGGATCCTGCCAGGACCGCAATAGCCCACGAGCAACGCGATATGTCTGTGAGCACCAACAATAAGCCTGCGAGTGCCGCAGTAGCCTGCATGCACCACCGCCTGCCTGTGAGAACCACGGCACTCCTGCGAGCATCACAGCATGATGTGAACACTTGTGCACACCGCAGCACGCCTGTGAGTTGTGAGCACCACTGTATGCTTGTCGGGGGATGGGGCCCGCCCCCCTCCCAACCCCCACCTCGCGCACGACCGTTACCGTTACGTCGGGGAGGTGGCGGGGGTGACGAGCGTTACGCGCCAAAGGATGAAATGACCCTGGAGTCGTACCCGACGCGCACGCAATACATGACTAGAATAACGGGCCAAGTTGTTACGGAAGATGGAGTGACAAGGAACGTGACTTGCTGTGAAAGCGGAATTGGAGGCTCGAGCGCTGCACGATTCACAAGACTACAAAGATGACCGTGAGCGGGACTGAGGGTAGACAATGATAGAATCAATGGGCAATAACGAAGGAAGTCATGGGAGTAAGAGCCGAGAGAAGAGAGGCAGAAGTACGAAGGAGAGCGGAGGAAAGACACTGAAAAGTCGCGATGCTTGCACAGTTCGCGGTCCCCATGGACGGCGAGGTAGAATTCCGATCCGCGTAAGACACCACTTCGCCAGTCGCCCCAGGAAGCCCGCGAAAGTGGGGGCAATTTCGCAGTAGGGACGCCGAGGTCTCATTCAGGTCTGGGTATGATGTCACCCCGCTGGACCTCCCATGAGCTCACAAACATGGCGGCAGTTTCGCAGTTGGCAACCTCCCTGGGCGGCGATACTGAATTTGGATCCGCGTAAGTCGCCATCTCTCTGGACCTCCCAAGAGCTTACGAACGTGGCGACAGTTGTGCAGCTGGCAGCCCGCCTGGACGGCGAGATGGAATCTGGGCCTGCGTAAGGCACCACTCCGCTGGACCTCCCAGGGGCTCACGAAAGGGGCGACAGTTGCGCAGATGGAAGCTCCCCAGGGTGGCGAGATCTAATCTTGGTCTGCGTAAGGCACCACTCGCTAGACCTCCCAAGAGCTCACGGATAAGGTGACAACTGGCAGCCCCCCAGGGCGGCGAGTTCAAAAATGGGTCTGCGAAAGGCACCACTTCGCTAGACCTCCTAGGAACTGACAAACGTGGCTGCAGTTGCACAGTGGGCAGCCCCCCAAAGTGGCGAGGTCTGATTCAGTAGGTCTGCGTAAGGCACAGATCCGCAGAACCTCGCAGGAACTCACGGAGCGGACAACATTTGCCCAATTGACAGCACCCCAGGGTGGCGAAGGTGAACTTGAGTCTGCGTAGTGCACTACTCCGCTGGACCTCCCAGGAGCTCACGAAATGGGCGACCATTGCCCAACTGGCAGCACCCCTGGATGGCTAATCTTGGTCTGCGTAAGGAACCACTCCGCTGGATCTCCCAGGAGCTTGCGAAAGGGGCGACAATTGTGCAGATGGCAACCACCCAAGGTTTGCGAGGTCTGATTTGAGTCTGCGCAGAGCACCCCTCTGCTGGCTCGCCCTTGGGCCCACGGAAGTGGCTACAGGTACGCAAGTCGAATCCCCCAGAGACGGCGAGGTAAGAGGCATGGTATGAAGTAAGTAGGAGATAGGAGACAGGAGGGAGCAGGAGGGAGGCGTGAGGCAGGAGGAGAAGGCAGCAGTGCTCTAGAACCCAACGCAGCAGGGGGGGGAAAAACGAGCTCCAGGGAAACCAGCTCCAGGGTACCCCGCGCAGTGGACGAGGGAGTCTGGGGCATCGCAGCCCATGACACCCCGTGGATAGGGACCACGAAAGCGACCATGGCACACCCACCCGCCCGTCCAGGTGCGAATATCGCCGCCTCCACGAGGGGGAGATCGCGCAGAGCGCCTCCCGGGCCCCCGCCCAGTCCGCACTTCTCGTCGGCAGCGCTGGGGATTGCAGGCGCGTCTCCAGGCAGGCGGCGTTCGCCCGGCCATGGCCCGCCGGTGAGGGCGGAAAAGAGGAGGGCGGCCGCGGAGGCAGAGAGGGGAGGGGGAAGGCCCAGACCGCAGAGGGCCTGCGGAACAGGAGCGCTCGGGCGGCCTCGAGCACCGGGAGCCAGTGTACGTCCAGGTGGTGCGCCTCAGTGCAGGCTGTCAACGGTGGGACAGCGGCGGTGTCCATCGCGAGGCAAGCAATCAGCGAATGGGCCGCGGAGGCAGAATGGGGCGAGGAGGCCCAGACCGCAGAGAGTCTGCAGAGCGGGTGATCAGAGAAGGTCCCCGCATGTCGATCGGAGACGATTCGTCAAGCGGAGCAGGCCGCGCTGATCTGTCCAGGAAGCCAAACGCTCGGGACGATGGCTTGGCGTCCCTCCTCCTTCTCCGACGCTTGACGTTGAGGGCAAAAGAGACGGCTAAGACCGCAGAGAGTCTGCAGAGCAGCAGCAGCACGCAGGCCACAGGCTGCAGGCCCTCCCTCCCTCCTAGTGCGGCTGGCGGCCCAGCCGCACCCGCCCTTCCGCCGGCTTCCGCCGGCGGAGGTAGCCCCGTTTTGCTTCCGCCGCCCTCCGCCGAGAAAAAGACGGCAACTCATTCGACCCTCGAAGGCAAAGCTCTTTCTGGAATGCCTCACGTGCCGCCGCGCTGTTTGTCCTCGACGCGCCCAACTGGACGACACCGACACCACGGCAAGCCCGCGGCAAGCCCTCCGCCCCGCGTCAGAGCAGACGACGCCAGCATCGCGGCAAACATCGGCAAGCCCACGGCAAAACCCACCGCGCCCGAGGCGGAGACCGCCCCGGCGGCCGCGGCGCCCTCCCCAGGACGCCAGGCCGCGCGTCGGAACCAGCGGCGCGGCGACGCGTGCGGGCTGCAGGGTCCTCCGGACCTCGAGGGCGCGGGGCGAGCGGCACGCGGCTGCCGCGGGACGCGCTGCAGGTCGTGGGCGCCTTCCAGCGCAGGGCGCCCGTGGCCGTGGCGGCTCTTGGAGCGGAGAGAGGGGGGAAGGAGCGAGGAGCGAGGAGCGGGCGAGGTGGAGCGAGGGGGAGGAGGAGCGAGGGGGAGGAGGAGGCGGAGGAGGAGGAGGAGGAGGAGGTCTCACTCCTGCAGAGGTCCAGCCCGCTGCGGGCCCCCGAGCCCCCCCGAGAGCCCGAGAGAGGAGGGCTACTTCTGGTGCCTGGGCGGAGCGGAGCTACCTTTGTTCCCCCCCCCCTCGGGGGCGAGCGCTCGCCGCGACGGCCAGGCGCTCCTTGTGACGTCTCACAAAACGGGAAGGTGTCTCGGGCGTTGCCTAACAGGGAAGGATCCAGTCAACCCGTCAAGGATGCAGGGGCCTTGGAAGGCCCGGTCAGCACTTTGCGAGCGGGGCGCGGCGCGCGGAAGCGGCCCAGGATGGGCCGAAGGGGAAGGATGCAGGGGTAACTTTGGAAAGTCGCTCATCCTTACTATGCGGGCTGACTGTACATGGGGGGGGGCAAGCGTGCACCTGCCGTGCCCCTTTTGGGTCCCAGGGGGCTCCTTCAGGGCCCCTTTGGGGCATAAGAGATGGTGCGCTTTTCCTCACCCGCCCCCGTTTTATCGCCCCCCTAGTACGCCGCGCCCGAATGCTGTGGCGGGCCAGGGCCCCCGGGATCGCTGGCCAATCGGCCAGCTTCACCAGGAGCCCGCCCCACATGCGTGCAAAGAGAAACGGCGCGCCTCGCAGCGGCGGCACCGTGAGCGGTGGGCGTCCGCGAGCGACTCCGACGGCGAGAGCCCACCGCTGGCCAAAGGAAGAGGGGAAGTACCACGCCGGGGCATGCCAGGAAGGTCTCCACCGTCAGCTCTCCATCTTGCACCTTCTCCTCGTCGGCAACGGCCTACCACGAATACCCCGGCTGGGCGGGGTAGGTGCAGCCGGAGTGCTGGATGATGATCCACCGCCGTGCTCGCACGACAATGGCGTACGTTGGAATGCTCATCAGCTGTCTGGCAGGGCTAGACGGTCCCAAGACAGCCCCAGACCGCTCCCAGCTGGCTGCAAGATGCTCCAGGACCAGCCCAATACGGCCCATCGACCCCCCACAGGTTCCAATCACAACCCCAAGTGGCCCCAAGGTGCGCCATGCGCTCAAGGAGGCCTTCAGCGAAGCTGAAGGATGCCCAGCGCAATGAACAACCCGATGCGTTGGAGGGCCCCGAGCGGGCCCGACCACCTCCCAAGACTAGAAGAAAAAAACGGCATAAACATAATCACCCAAAACTTCATAGGATGGCTCCAAGACGGCCCCAAAACCCGCCCGGGCATCCCCAACATTGCTTCACCGAGCCTCGTCGGACGAGCGCGGCAGAATCGTCCCGCCCCAGACGGCCCCTGAGGCACCCGACGGACCCCTGGCATGCCCCGCAAGAGGCCCCCGAGAGGCCCCAAAAGAGCCCCCGAAGGGCGTGCGAGATGCCTTCGGGAGCGAGGAGGGGGGACGAAGACGAAGGAGGAAGGCAGAACGAGGAGGAAGGCAGAACGAGGAGGAGGAGGAGGAGGAGGAGGAGGAGGAGGAGGAGGAGGAGGAGGAGGAGGCGGGAGGAGGCGGGAGGACAAGGCAGAGGACATAGAGAGGGAAAAAGAGATAGAGACAGAGAGTGCTCCAGACCCTGGGCGGTTCAGGCAGGGCGCTGACCTGGAACGTGTCTGACGAAGGAAAACGGAGGAGGAAGGAGGAAAAGGAGGAGGAGAAGCAAGGAGGAGAAGCAAGGAGGAGAAGCAAGGAGGAGAAGACAGAGGACAGAGAGAGAGAGTGCTCAAGACCTCGGGCCTTTCAGACAAGGCGGTGAACTGGAAGGGGTCTGGAACCCAACCTCCCGCCAGCTGCCTTGCTGCGCAGAGCACGGTGGCAACGCTTGCCGCAGGCAGCTTTGATGGAGGCGGAGTGGTTGCCGGCCTCGCAGCACTTCTTGACGTCCTTGCCCTTGGACAGCGCGGCGAGGAAGCCGCCCACGAAGGCGTCGCCGGCGCCGTTGGTGTCTACGATCTTGCTGGAGTCCAGCTTGATGACAGGGTGCAGGGTGACGATGCCGTTGAGGGCCACCACGGTGGGCTCGCAGCCCTGCGTGATGACCACGTGGCGCTTCCTCGGCTTGCCGCCCTTCTCGTTCATCGGAATGAGTGAGAGCCGGGTGGCGATGAATTCGACATTCTCCGTCTCCCAGCCGCAGGCATCCGCGTACGCGCGCGCCTCCGTCTCGTTGCCGAAAAGGTAGTCCACGTCTGGCAGCGTCTTCTGGAGGCAGGCGCGGAACGGCGGCACCTGCACGATGAACGGCGCGGACAGGTTCAGGCAGTAGATGGCGCCAGACTGCCGGGTGTGCGTGGAGACGGCCTCGATGGCCTCGGGGGACACCGTGATGAAGAACCCGGCGCTGTACACGATCTTCGCCTTCTCGACGATCGCCCAGTTCTGCGGCTGCTTCACGTGGTCCACCTTGTAGTTGTTGGCCGCCGCCAGGCTGGTGCACAGCGAGCGCTCCTTGTCCATGATGAGGCAAGCGCAGAGGCCCGTCGGGGTCGACGGGTCCTCCAGGTACTGGGCGTCGACGCCGTCGGCCTTGCAGGCGTCCAGGAGCTTCTTGGCGTTCTCGTCCTTGCCGACGCACCCCATGTAGGCGGTGGCGCCCGCCTCCTGGAGCATCCACTGCGCCACGCGGATGCTGTTCTGCGTGGCGCCGCCCGCGATGTACTTCACGTCCGGCTTGGCCTGCAACTCCGCGTACACGGGCATGTGCTTGTCCTCGGCCAGGATGATGCCGCCCGGCTCCAGGCCGTACTTCTCGAACATCGCCGCGTCGGCGCTGGCGGAGATGTCGAGCAGCGGGTTGCCCATGCCGAGGATGGCTGCCATCGTGCCAAGAAAAGGCGAGCCCGGTCGAGCTCAGGACGCGGGGGAAATTGGGCAGGCCGGGGCGTACTAAATCTGGGGCCAAGCATGGTGAAATGGGGAGGACGAGGGAAAGAGTAGGGGAGGGAATGAGAGCAGGAGAGTGCAGAGCGGGCGGAGAAGGCAGGGGGGGAAGGGAGGAGGAGGAGGAGGAGAAGGAGGACGAGGA